AAACTTTAGACATTTTTTCTCATTGCCGTTCACTTGAAAACAATCTTCTTTGAAATTAGCCAACCAATATTGAGTAATGACCCTAAAAATATACATACTGACTTTCATTTATTTCAGTAAAAGTATAGTATGTAGACATCAATTCACAAAAAGAGATTCTAACTACCATTCATCTTGCTGCTTTTTGGAAAGTAATCTTTGTCGTTTAACTTCTTGGTTGAAAAATTAGAAGAGTAAATGGTGAGTGATAGCTTAGAGTTGCTTGGGGTTATGAAAATTTCATCGACCTAAAACTGTAACTTGCAACAGTTATTCTTTAAAATGCGAAAATCTCAAGATATTAGCATTTTCGTTGGTATATGTAGTATGTCACTGAATGTCATACAAAAATATGTTTAGCTGTCGAGAATTTTAGTAGTACTGCTTACGTGTATTGATGGAGCTGTGGCTCATTAGTCCAGGCACTTGACTTTCCACCGCTGGGTCATGAGTTCAAACACCAGTCGAAGTCTTGGGAAGTCAGGTAGTGTCATCAGCCTTAACACCAAGGTAAACCATACTGCATACTGCACTAGCATAGAAAAGGTTGCTGAATGGATTTCGATTTCGCTACAAGTAGTCCTACAGAAACGGTAACTACCAGTAGCTAGGAAATCAAGTTCTGCAGATGAAAACCATATTTTGCATCACTCAGAAGGAGATAATCTTATGTGAAAGACTAATGAATTTATCAGAGGATATTCAAAGTGAAGAATTTTCTAGTCATTCGGTAATCAACTGACCGCTATATACCACTCATCCATTGACTTCACATCTCTCATTTCTCTTATCTTCCTAATTTTACATTCAGCAAAACTATGATTTATGATAAGCCACCATATATTTAATCGTCAACTAAATAATCTGTTATTATTTTTCCTTTTTAGTAGTACAAACTTTCTTCAATAAATTATTCATGGGAAAGGACATCCAGTTAATGATCATAAATAGATATGTAACTTAGTTTAAACGAAATCACTCTAGAAAGGATTACCAAAACCTACTTTTTGGTCATTCGATACAACGAAACCGTAAATCGTGCGTAACACGTAAGTGCATGGTTTGATAATCAATGCAGAGTAACAGAAATATAGAGGCAAAGGGAGTAATGAACTAGCTACTGGGTTATTGCTACTTTATGTTAGTTGAGAGGTTGATATACTTATTTATATCTATACTGATATGTATGATTTCATCAAATACATAGGATCAATGTGTCACATTTAACACTAATTCAAAAGTAAGCTTCACATTTATTTGGTGAGTTAAATGTACCTCAAAAATGAGAACAAAGTGAGAGGTAAATAAAATTCACACTAATTCTGACAGATCTGCAATTTGATTGATAAAAGAGTTGGGGAAGGGGAAACAAAGAGAAATCCATATCTTGCGAAATACACATATTCCTGATGAAAGACTAGATACTACACATATGACGTGAGACATAAAATTCGTGATAATGTATGCGCTTTCTTAATTAAAAACTTGATAATTAAAATGGCGATAGTTCTACATCAGGAGCAGAAATTCACTCACTACTCAAATAAGGGAACTATTTGGATTACTGGTCAACCCTTTCATCAATTTCCTTATCATGATTACTTCAGTTTAAGTTCGTTCTAAATTTCGCATAAAGTGCATCAGATGTTACTTTCCAGCCTTTTGAGGCTATTAAAATTTTGAGGTATAAGCGTGGAGTGAACCTGTTTTCCGGCTGTGATATTTCGGACCCAAATACAATTCGTTGAATTCCTTAAATAAAACTGATATCTTCCATTTTATTAAAAATATATTTGTAATGAATATTTACACACAGTGGTGTTATTTAATTTTGGTAAATATGTCGAGATAAATAATTCCAATAACTGATGCGACCACCGATAGTAATTTTGCTGGAAAATATTGCCAAAATTAAATAACATCACTATGTGTAATTACTCATTGCAAATATGTTTATGATAAATTGATTCTTTCCACAAAGCACGAACGTTTCATGGATATAACTGATATCTTCTATGTTATTTCATCTTCTTGTAACCAGACTACCAAGCTATAAACTGATAAAAGTACCAAAGTGTGATATTTTTGAATTCCAATCATCTTGGAAATTAGCATGGTGACCATTGTGAGACCTGTCTGTCCTGGGTTTCACTCCTGGTAAGTAATGTAAGTGTGCATTACTACGTAGTCGTAAAAGGCTTTTCAGTGCCCAAAGGTTTTCAAGTTGATTTCAATCTGCAAGGAAGTCTACCTTGAAATAAATCCTTCTTCCTCAAGCATACCAGAAGGATAATATATTTCTTTGTTCAAGAAACATTTATCTTGATGCTGTCAGTAGTGTCTCGTTCTGTTTCCCTTATTATTATACTTTTCGCTGTTTGGATACCTGCATTAAATTCCATTTGATCGAAAGGTTTTTTCGAAGTTTCTCCATTTTAAACAGGATACTTTCTTACACTTAAGCCATTAAAGATAAAGGTATATTGACGGTAAACTTTCAAATTCAACGATACCCATTGAGCATTCAGAAATATAGAGTTTGAACCAACAGCTGTTGTAATTATATTTCCCCTCAGCTTATACGATTATAAAGTGAACAAGAAATCAGTATACGAGGATGTGTACCGAGATGATAATTATTCACACAACATCTGTAGAAGAAAAAGTGTTAGTATGAACAAATGAATCTTAGTCAGTGAGATGGTGATTCCGTGAAAAGGATGTCATGATGAAGCTAGGCGTTTTGCAAGGTATAACAAATAATTAATGGTTTTAGTGTCAACAGACAATACTTAGACACTTACTCAACCAACGTTAACTGACATAGGGTGAGACGATTTGAAGTCTAAGAAACAGTTTGAATGTGAAGGTTTTCTGTAGACACTAGTATCTAAACTCCCATCTCATTTCCGCTTTATTCGACAATCCAACATCGCTAATTCTCGTTCGCTATTTTCTAATTCATAGGTGGAGTGGATTGCGTTGACTGATGAATTTATATGTGTGAAGAAATTATGTATGTGTTCCAATTTCAACACTGTAAAGGTGCCGTCTACATATCGAAACCATATTTTTGAAGTTGAACTAAATTTTTCTACAGCCATCTGTTCTCAGTTATCCATAATATGTCAGCCACAATAGGGGATATTGATGGTCCATGGTAACTACTTCTGTTTGTATATTTTGTTCTGAAACCTAAACATTGTGGAAGTTAGGCAAAGCTATACTCCTAGCACGATATCATCTACTGGTACCTTAGTTAAAAGTGTAATCTCGTGGTCATTACTGAACTCGTTTCTAACTGCTTCCAGGGCCATATCAATCGGTATTTTGGTACACAAACTAACTACATCAAAACCAACCATTTTTTCATAGTAATCTACATGTATGTCATCTAATCTGTGATTCAATTCATAAGAGTTAGTAAGTCTTGATTTAGAACGGTTTCTAATTGGATTTAGTACCATCGCCAGTAGATTATGTCCGAAACGTAATCCAGTAAATAATACTGTTACACTGTGTAAAATATCTAATAAATCAATAAAAATATAATTACATTCTGCCAAAGTGCACAAGTTTTACTCTCATATTAATGAGTTGTTAAATAGTAGTGAGAATTTTACACTTACCTCTTGCTCCCGGTTAAAATAGAAAATACATTTATTTGCTTCTCGACGAATTTCGTAGATGGTGATGCATAATAACAAAAGTGTAGTCCTTTTCATTTGGATGTTGGACATTCATTCGTTGAATGAATTAGGACTTTTTTTGCCTGGCATATTCAAGGGTGTTCACAGACTAATATGGATGAAGCTCAATGATTTCAGTCTATTTCACTGATACTCATCAGCGAATAATAGCACATAATGAAACAATGATGAGAGCAACATCAGTAGATTACCTTCAACTCATTGTGTAGATAGTAGTCTTGTTGAAAAGATTACTTGCAAAACTCACCCCACATGAAGTCATTTCTACCAATTCTTCTTGATATATAGATGATGTAACAACTGAAAGTGATTCCACTTACTGTATTCCTTTCAACTTTTGTTTAATTGCAAGTATCCAAATTACGTGATATCAACATTTGGTTTTTTTAGTTTGAATCATAGTTTTATATGGTTTGAATCGTGACGCTGTTCACAGTTTATACAAACAGATTACAGTTCAAAGGATAAATAGTAATCACTCCATATTAATCGCTTTTGAGAATATTTTGTGCTTAGCAACTTTCCGCTTAAGAGATTACAGGCTTCAGAACACAAGTTGAAGATTTAACGGCCTTTGATACAATCAGGTATTTATAATTCAAATATTTTGTTGTGATGACTTTTTAATGTATAACTTAGTGATGTAGTGATTTGAGTAGGAGTAGTGATGATATATTGGGATAATCATTTCAATGGGAAATACTATAGAGATTTCTATAAAGTGAACTGTTTAATAATAGCTAGCAGAGATTGTGCTGAAATCAAAATCTACACCTTTGAGGATTTTCTGTAAACTTCTGCAAGTAGAAGTGAACTATGCTTTCACAATTTTTGGTATTTGTTTGTTTATTTTTATGACAGGTAACAGATACTGGATATTTGATTCAAATGCAGCTTCTTGTAGTCAGTATTCCAAATTGGTATGAGATGAGCAGCTGTTTAACACCTAGATTTTATAATTCTCAAGCCCATGATGGTATACAGTTTCGATGTCAATGGTTTGTAAATTACTGACTAGGATATTCATCTCGGGTCTCAGCGGGAAACACTTATTTTATACAGGAGTGAAAATGGTTGACATATGGTTCTACGATGATGTGTCTAAAACTATTCAACCTTTTCTTACAGATCGCAGTCGTATTTGCCTATTTGCAGAAATAAATCAGAATTTCAGCACACAAGTCTTGTATATGTGATTTTGATGTTGCATACTATTGGGTCTACACTAAATATTTGTATTCTCTTATACAGAAGCAGTGTTGGTCAGTCAAACAAACACTCTTAACAGTATGGATTTCTAAAGACTGCCCAGTCTGACAGAAACGTTTACGAGGTACAAAAGAACCAGCAGAGCACCAGTTGACAGGTTGGTAAACTGTGATTTGTTCAGAGCAGCGTATAGCTATTCAGCTGATGAGGCTATGGCCTATTTTAGCAGTTTTCAACCTTTTATTTCATTTTACACCATTATATATAGTTAACATCCTTCTGCCTATATCAGTGGTATATTCTTAGCGATCATCTCAGTATTCTGTTGGCTTTTTATGTTGCATCGTTTACTGATATTTTTGTATTTGTCTATATAAAAATCAAAGTGAAATGTAATTCCATATTCGACTATTTATTCGATACAGCACGTAGTGATAAAGTTTTATTTTCTGGATGGGGTTTCAGAAGAACTTAACGTTTGTAACCTTATTGGAGTTATCATAAAGCTTTCTAATGTCACTTATATAGTCCAGCAATTTTTTATTCTTGCATTTTAATGGTAGTAAAATTTTCCAGATATATGGAATATGTGGTCGGTCATTCCTGTTGCATATGTTTGGTGTTGATCCTATAAAGGAGGACTCTGTAGTAAATTTCCTCCTACATCTAGCGAAACTGTCACACATTCTCACCGTATAGTATGTCTGTGAGTCAAGCATCTTTTAGCCTAAAACGTTTCTGTATGGACTCAAACCTTACTCGAATTCCACCACTCTTAAGAATCTTACACAGATATTTCAATGTAGCTTCTTTATATGGCATCACCACAAAAGACTTCAATTCCCTCTTAGAAATGTATGTATATATAAGGTTACTTACCACCGAAGTGTCACCAATGGTAACAAGAACTTTGATAATTACACTAGTGATGATAACAGTACGATGAATAGAACATTGGCACAATCACCGTAGTTTGAAATTTAGTTTAAATTTGCGTAATACTTGTGGATGAAGTATGTGGATAGTCAAAACACGATTAAATCCGATAAGTATGCGAAAGGACTAGAAAGTATTGATGCAGTTGAAAAACTTTCATTGGCAAGATAACTTGTAAATACTTCTTGGCCAAGACGGTTATACTAGTTGCTCAAACGTTTGCCGAACATAGATTACTTTTTTAGTTTTAATCTTCATAGTTTAAGATGCATATGAAAGGCCAGTACGAATACCAATACAAGTTTACAGTGATTTTTGTAATGCGTCTACTTTTGGCAAAGCCAACAAAAGTGAGCTATTTACCAACTTACTCTATCCCTTTCACAGTCAGAAAAGTGGGTGGTCAACAACCCATTAATTGAGTTATTCAGTTAAATACCACTATAGCTTTCTTCAGGGAAACAAATGACTTGGTAAACACACAACTGGTAGGGCTATACAGCTTGTTCGCCTGAGTAGAGATTGTCAATCAACACAACCGAGATGACATGATTGGAAGCACAGAAATTTGTTTTGATGGTCACAGAAAACCCAAGAAAAGAACTTTGTCTGTGTGTTCTTGTATGTGTTACTTCACAAAGTTATCAGATGAAACTATTCAAATCAGGGTATTAGGAATCTTTGTTAAAGGACACTGAATCTAACTGTCATGGCTCTACGTACAAGAAGTTAGTGTTATTCTTCTAAAGCGGATGTTTCCAAAGTTGAGAAATTTGCCTGCTGGTCCGTTAATGGTGTCCTTCTTTTTAAAGTGAGTCATCATGTTTTAAGCCTTGTGGCATCTAAAAACCACAGCTTCTTTTCATGTTTAACGAAAAACAAATGAGGGATGTTCGCTGTTAAATTTGTCTAAATTGATCACAGATAAGTAAAATCTCGTCGCTTACATCCTCTCATAAATCCAGGTTATTAGCGAAAGCTGTTGACGGTTCTTTTTCTAGTTCAGCAAAAATGCACTCTTTTAATAATGAACTGAAGGGTAAATTCTTGTCGATTTCACTAGTCCGTCTATAATAAATACTGCCGAAGAATATATGCACACTGAAGGCATTTTACAGAAGGTATTCCTCGGGTTAAGGTTCTGGAATTTAAAATTTAAATTTTCACTTCAAATACCCACTGACATGCAACCTATGTGAAGAATGACAATCATTCATAAATGTCGTATATTTCCTTTTTAATACCTTGTGAACTAAACTACACTTCAGATGTAAATCACTGAATATATTCATTCTATAAAGTTGAATCGCTAGAAAAGGGTTAAGTTATCCTCAGAGTACATTATAAATATTCACGTTAGCAAGCGTGTTCATAATTAACAATTACACTGTTCTATTCCGTACTTATACTCAACATTTTTTCCCTATGATTGGCATGTTGACTCATGTAGAAGTCGCTTCTTAGCATTAAATGATAATTGATTGAACAACATTTCGCCCTTTAAGTACAGTTTGACAGAGTGAAAATGATTTCATTCATGTGAGCAAATGAATTCTGACCTCATTGAATCGTTAACGGAACACAGTATTTTTCTCTACTTTGCCAGTTTGTAAACATAATTTAATGGAAATGTCAATCAGTTTCATGATAACTGTTGTTCAAAACAGATTTAATTTTTTATTTGGATACTTTTGAAAGGAAATTTATAGACAATGATTTTTGCCTTTAATAGCTAAAATCTAGATGTGTATGTTCCGTAAAATACGCATCCAATTCATGCAAAAAAAGAGTTCATGTGAACTTCATGCATGTACCCAAATCGCTTGTTTTGTAGAAAAGAATACTATCATTTTATTTTACTTTACTGATATCTGTTCACACTTGTCTCTTAATGAGATTCACCATGTTAATTCATGAGTTTGTTGTTCAATATCCAGGTTTCTCACTGTAATATTAGACTCATGTATGCAGTTTGAAAGATATTATCGTGGACTGAGTTCTGTTTCATATAACTGAACTCTCTTAGTGCCTGAAGTTTATCGAATTCTTTATGATCTAGTAATGAGCACAACTGTTTCTCAGTAAAACTTTTCTGCTGTTGCCACCATATATAAAGCTAACGAGTAACAGAAGTAGCCCAGGTGAGGAGTTCGTGCCATTAAAATCGGCTTTAAATAGACCTCACTCCACTCAGTTCATTCACTAATTAACCTAAGTGAAAAACCTGAGTAACTAAATATTTCATTTGGCTTAATGTCACTTCCAACTTGGCTGCACATATGGCAGTATCGAAAGGTTTAGGCTTATCAGTAATTTACTAAGGATACAATAAGCTTAGTTAATATCCGTCAAAGGATTCTCGCTTGAAATATGTATAAATTACCACATACCAGGACTACCATGATAAAAGTAGACATAACCTGCGTCCAAGTTGATTAACTGGTATTTGTTCAGTGGATTCTTTTCATCTTGAAAACAATCAGGCTTTAGAACCCGAATATGTTAAAAGACCTCCAACAGCCAAACTGTGTTTCAAAAACAGTTTCTGACAGGAACTGTTTTTCATGTTTTCAGCTCCAAAATGTTTTAAATTCACCGACATGGACTCATCTTTAATGCCCCCAGTCACCTAAAATGTAAGTAAAACGTAACTTTACTCATTTCTTCAAATAACCAAAATGTTTAAATGAGGAGTGCCTGAGAAATCAAACCTTTAAGCAACTATATGAATAAACTTTGAACTTTTCTGTTTCTTTTATCATATTCAGAAACAGACTGATGGCGGAGGGAACGGGTCTGTAGACTTTCATCCCTTTATTGTAGACACAAGTTGGTAAATCATTAGGCAATTTTAATATATATGATGACGCCTACAGAGATTGATACAAGAATCGTCTAGTTTTGAAACGGAAGCTTCAATTAATAGTCACTTTCTCCATTACTCTACTTTCAAAGGAGCTGGTTATTAATAACCACTGGCAGCTGAGGGCTAAGCAGTGTTGGTTAGTCTTATTCGAAAATAATAGTCGAGTTGCGTTGATAGATTTCATGAATGGATTTAAATCAGTGATTAAGGCTTCAGGACATGGAATTATTCATTTTATGTTTGTATGATTAAGTTCAAAAGACATTCAGAGTAAAACAAGAGTAAGATAGTACTTTCATGAATAATTTGGATCTATTGGATTCTTAGTTCATTGAACTAATATTATTCACATTTTGCATTGGACATCCGCATCTGTTACAAATCGAAATGTTTATGTTAAAGAAATAATTAGACAGGATATTTTGCAATGAAGTGTGTTATGTCACTCACTTATGCAGCTGACAAACTAAAATTAGGAGTTTTTATTCTTCCAACTTGGGAGTAGCAACAAGATGATAAGTGTTAAAGCAAGTGTAACTGATGGTGATTCCAGGCATTGACAAATACCACCGAATATGATCAATGAGATAAGGATACTCGAAAAGACAAGGTTATTTCATATAACTAACACAAGGTTGATCGACAGTGTATACAAAGAGATACAACACATGCATGCATAATTCCTCAGTATCGATGCATACGAAATGAGGCGGATGTGAACAACTAAACGAATATTCAGTAATTTCATTGATATTTACTATCAAGACAACATTTTTCTGAAATGATATTTTGCGGCATAATTAAATTATTTTAAGGAAAGCGTCCTAAAAATAAGCTTTTAGTCCTACATTGTCTGGCTACTTACTTTCATTTCGTTAAGTTTCTTCACCATGTTTTCTTTCCTCATCTCACTACTTTTATTCTAATTTAGACAGTGAATAACTGAAAATAAACTGAAAAATTATTTGGGATATACTGGAGAATATTCAGTTTGCAAGAGTTCCTGATCCCTGTTTGCTATCTCAGGGTTTTATATCATATTTTGATCAGCAAGCTAAAAACCTTTTCCTTCTACATTCACTTTGAATTATACTTTGCGTTTTGTTGTCTGTGAATCTGAGTGGGTGCGAATAAAGTTAATTGAAATCAAAATACTTTTCCTTATTCATTCCAACATACAGTCACTGACTAGTTGAGGTAGACTTACTAAACTTGATACTACTTGATCACCGCTGAAGTGATTCTGTTTGCTGTCCATGGTGTGATCAAATTGTCTTCGTCAAAAGTATCTGAAATATCAACCATTAGTTTAATGGTTTGTTGTGTTAATGAAGACATGTGTTTAATAATCCAAC